GTCCTTCCTCCTCTCTTTATCATCTTTCAATAACTCCCTAAAAGAGAAAAAAATATTAACAGAACCGACAGGAAAAGGCTATCTAATACATCTAGAAACCCCTTAACCTAGAAGGAATAATAGAAAAAAGTTAACTCCTAAAAATAAATGCCCTATTTTTAATCTTTAACCCTATTTTTCTCACCTCAGCATTGTAAAATAAACTTCAAATGCCAGTTAAAGAGCAACATCGACACCTTGTGGTAAAGATCAAATGGCTCTTAATTAAATGGCTGCTTACATCCGTGGTTCTCAACCTGTGGGTCGCAACCCCTTTGGCAGTCGAACGACCCTTTCACAGGGGTCGCCTAAGACCATCCTGCATATCAGATATTTATATTATGATTCATAACAGTTGCAACATTACAGTTATGAAGTAGCAAAGAAAATAATTTTATGGTTGGGTCGCAACATGAGGAACTGTATTTAAAGGGCCAGAAGGTTGAGAACCACTGGCTTACATGAAAACTAACTCTTAATCCAGGAATTTCCAAGGGTTAAAGAAGCAAAAATTTAATTACCATTACACACACTAAAGGTAGATTTAGAAAAAGTTTCTATTATTTTGACAACCAAAATTAGCCTAAATTCTTCACTATAGGTGAAAAAAATCTGAGTAAAACCTCAGGTTATTGTTTTCCTAAAAAATGGTACATTACATCCTTCTGAAGGAGTTTTAACCCTAGTCCTTGGTGCTTCCAAATCCTTGCCTTAGTCAAGATTTCCTGCTTTCCTGAGACAGTATCACATAACAACACAGTGAAAGTTATTAATTAGAATACACTCTCGAAAAACAGAACCAGGAGACCTGGATTCGGATCCTGACTCCAAAAGACACTGAGAATCTTGTGGAGTTAAAAGTGATATTAAAAAATTCTGACTGTGTGTTTTCACATAAAATTACAGATCAAGAAGTAACAATTTCACAAACCAAGAAAGCATCAGGAAAAGAGAAGATATATTTCTTAAATTAGTCTCATCCAGGAACAATGTTGCCTGAGTTAAATAAAGAAGGCAAACTATGAATAAAAGTGATGGACACAAAATTGTTTTCCAAGCACTCTTGATTGTGCAGAGAGATGATGGTTGCTTTTTTTCTAATGTCTTGAGAGAATTTTCAGAGAAAGCTGCATTTCCCTGGGAATGTGCTACCAGCCATAAATGATTTAACACAATGATAAAGATAGAGCCACTGTTAATAAGGCAATTCAAACTGATAACCCACCTGAGGTCTCTGAAAGATACCCTAGAAATGAAACCCCCAAGAGACATATCATTGCAAGATCAGTGTTAACTAACTGAGCCACTACTAATGTTCACCTCATAACCACCAGCCTACAAAGGTAAGTGAGACTTAGAAAAGGATCTACAAAACATGCTTGTCAGAAAACCTTCACACCGACTTCCAGCCTGGCTCTTTCCTACTGTGTGCCCTCAGGTATATACATCATTTAACACCTCTTGACTTCAGCTTCTACACTGGTGTGTGAACATAAAAAGTTTCTAAGAGAATGAGATCATAAATGTGAAAATGCTTGTAAATTACACTTCACTGCTTCCAACTTCTAGAAGAATCACAGAGGTAAACGAATTGGATAAATCAAGGATAACTCAAGTCAGGGTCAGGTTGATGGAAGCATTCTCTATTACGCCGTGCTGCTTTCCGAGATGCTACAGTCTGTCTGGTCAGTTCCCATTCTTCTGTATCATGAAGGAGCTTTTGATGCTCCTTGAATCTGATCCTCTTAGTTTATGAGGCTGCCTTTCCCAAATCCTCTCCTTCTCACTGACTTTGCATTCCTTTCTCTTTTAATCTACTGATTTCTCTAATAAGATCACAGAATCTCATACTTGGAAAATACCTTTAAAATAATATCTATACTCTCATTTTACTTAAGAAAACAGGTCAAGAAATATTAGTGGCTTACTCACACTTCAAATTATTTCTGGGGAGAAACCAAGATGGCGGCATAGGTTAACACCGGAGATTGCTGCCTCGAACAACCACTTCAAAAAACAACTAAAAGACGGAATGGACATCATCCAGAACCACAGGAAGGCTGGCTGAGTGGAAATTCTACAACTAGGAGGAAAGAGAATATCATACCCAGACTCAGAGGAGGCACAGTGCTGAAGTGAAATACTAAGGTGCGGAGTGCACGCGGAGAGGGCTGGAGGCGGAGGGCGTGGTTGTTGTTTTCAATCGGGAGGGAGTTTCAGACTCTGAGCTCCAGATCCGGGCGAGTCTCTAGGGATCCAGACTCAAACGGGAGAAGCGGGACTGTCTGGCTTCGGTCGGAACTCGAAGGCAGCTTTCTCTCCGAGGTTTGCAGCGGTTGCTGGGACTCTGTGAAGCAGAGCCCCTAGGGACGGAACTGAGAGCAGCCATAACTGCTCGCTCCGGCCGCCCTGTAGATCCCCGGGGACCCGCCCCGCCCAAGCCCTGCGCAGAGCCAGGCAAACGCTAGATTAGCACCGCCCTAGAGATCCAGCACAGAAGCTCTCCCACTGCAGACACAGCGGACTCTCATAGCCAGTTAGCCTGGAGGTCAAATCACCCCCGGTATTGCCGACAACAATCAAGGCTTAACTACAACAAGACTGCGCACAAAGACCACTAGGGGGTGCACCCAGAAAGCATAAAAAACGCGGAGACAAAGAAACAGGACAAAACTGTCAATGGAGGATATTGAGTTGAGAACCACACTTTTAAGGTCTCGATAAATGTAGTGAGATCCTCAAGAAATCTAATGAGACCCTCGAGGTTATGATAAAGGATCAACTAGAAATTAAGCATACACGGACTGAAATAACGAATACTATACAGACTCCCAACAGCAGACCAGAGGAGCGCAAGAATCAAGGCAAAGATTTGAAATGCGAAGAAGCAAAAAATACCCAACCAGAAAAGCAAAATGAAAAAAGAATCCGAAAATACGAAGATAGTGTAAGGAGCCTCTGGGGCAGCTTCAAGCGTACCAACATCAGAATTATAGGGGTGCCAGAAGATGAGAGAGAGCAAGATATTGAAAACCTATTTGAAGAAATAATGACAGAAAACTTCCCCCACCTGGTGAAAGAAATAGACTTACAGGTCCAAGAAGCGCAGAGAACCCCAAACAAAAGGAATCCAAAGAGGACCACACCAAGACACATCATAATTAAAATGCCAAGAGCAAAAGACAAAGAGAGAATCTTAAAAGCAGCAAGAGAAAGACAGTCAGTTACCTACAAGGGAGTACCCATACGACTGTCAGCTGATTTCTCAACAGAAACTTTGCAGGCCAGAAGGGAGTGGCAAGAAATATTCAAAGTGATGAATGCCAAGAACCTACAACCAAGATTACTTTATCCAGCAAAGCTATCATTCAGAATTGAAGGTCAGATAAAGAGCTTCACAGATAAGGGAAAGCTGAAGGAGTTCATCACCACCAAACCAGTATTATATGAAATGCTGAAAGGTATCCTTTAAGAAGAGGAAGAAGAAGAAAAAGGTAAAGATACAAATTATAAACAACAAACATGCATCTATCAACAAGTGAATCTAAGAATCAAGTGAATAAATAATCTGGTGATCATAATAGAATCAGGGACATAGAAAGGGAATGGACTGACTATTCTTGGGGGGGGAAGGGGTGTGGGAGATGCGGGAAGAGACTGGACAAAAATCGTGCACCTATGGATGAGGACAGTGGGTGGGGAGTGAGGGCAGAGGGTGGGGCGGGAACTGGGAGGAGGGGAGTTATGGGGGGAAAAAAGAGGAACAAATGCAATAATCTGAACAATAAAGATTTAATTAAAAAAAATAAAATAAAATAAAATAAAAATTATTTCTGTACAGTCTTCTTTCCAATACTTAAAACTTAATGTAGTCCCAAACTGAATAGGCTCAAAAATATGAGTTACATATTTTGACACCTCCTGCTTTCTCTACTATCTGGTTACTAAATCCTGTTCATTCTGTTATTTAGCCTAAGAATTCAAAGTGAAAGTACTTCTCAGATGAGAATCAAAAGTCATCAAATGTGTGTGGTTACTTTAGTTGAAATCATTGTCTCTTAAGAGCAATTTATACATTCCATGTGACCAAACTCTCTATCATCATGGATAATAAAATTCAAGATTTGCAAAGGAAAGGCCCATTTCATAATGTTTATAAAATAAATAATCATCCAATGGGACAAGAGTCCAATAATCCTTCTGGACTCTTCTCTAGTAGATATATAAGGGATGTCTAATGGTCTGAAATTTATGATGTGCTATGTAAACATTAGAAAAAGACTTCCAAAATCAAATTTCAATGAACCATCTGTCTGAGGAGGGTGAACACAGGTTGAGTGTCACTGTGAACTTTATTTTGAATTGCATTTATTTTGGTAACCTGCCTCTTAGGAAAATGTCCTAGATGATCTACAACACTGAAAATTAAAAACAAATTTTAAAATCTTTCAAAATTAAGCCAGACACTATAAAAATATAGAGTTGCAGCAGTTAAGCCTCTGAACATGAGATTCGTGCAAAGCTCCTTTGCCCTGCCAAACATGATTCTGTTAAAAGATGAACAGCAGGTCAAAACTCTAAGCTGTGTCTGGGGCTAAAGGAGGACTTTCCTAGTAATGCTGTAGTTGTTAAAATTCTGATAAGTCTAAATTTTGTACTTCTGCTTGCTGCTCTTTCTAGTTCAAAAGACTAGAAATAGCTCATGCCCCTGTCTTAAGATCACTGGCTTCCAATCACTCTTTCCCACTGTCCAAAGAAAGGAAATGACTCTTCAAATGTTTTGTGAAGGAGATACACTTAAATCACTGTAGCTACAAAAGTTATGAAACTCTCACTAAAAAATGCCAAGCCTGAATAACGGCTTCTAAACCTCCCATACATTTCCTCAACCTGAAATGTCACAGACTCAAAATGAGGAAGATTCTTTAGAAAATGCAGGAGGACTCTACGAAGTTTCTTACCGCAGCAAAGAGAAGACATCATAAGAATTGCGAACACAGTTCTGATCCACCTGAAGAAGAATATTCTTCTGAGCATTTGAATAACCCTAAAAGATATTAATTAACAAATTAATCAAAGTGAAACAATATGTGCACAATTAATCATGTTTGTCTTTTTAACATTATGATTTATAAACACTTCAGTAAATTCAAATTGTTAAGAGATTCAAAATTACAACTTCCATATAACTAAAATTTAACATTTTAAGCCAGTGAACTCAAAATAAATTTCCTCTAATATTTTTCCACAGAAACAATGTTTCACATTTTGCAGTGAATTTCGCAGAGAAGCCCCAGAAGTCTTTTTTACATATGTGACTGAAGAAGAGTATTAACAATAATATTTCAAGTATACCTAGTCATTGCATGTAATGTTTTTATGGGGAAAAAGGCATTCCAAGTTCCAATTACGAATACCAGAAACAAACATTTCCACTTAGTGGTACAAAGATGGTGGGAGCAAGGATGGTTTCTAGAGAAAACATGGCACAATCCATAAGAATTACAGAACAGGTATTTATCATTTAAGGCAGATAAAGTAAATAGTAGTTAAGAGAAAAGGGCTCTGGACCCAGACCACCTGATTACAATGGAAGCCCTTAATACACCAGCTCTGTAGTCTTGAGCAAGGTATCTGCGTGTTCTCAGTTTAACCTTGGTTTCTTCTTCTGTACTATGGAGTGATAATATTACCTACTTCGCAAATGGTTGTGGGAATTTAAAAAGTTAATATTTGAAAAGTAAAATATATGTAATAAGCACTATATAAATGTTTGTTATAATACTATTATAAGCATTTTTAAAGTTATGTTGCTACGGACATTAAAATACTACTAACCCATGCTACCTCAAAAAAAGGTTATTAGAATATTATGAACAACTTTATGCTACTGAATTTGACAACTTAGATGAATTAGACAAACTACTTGGAAAAATACAAAATGTCAAACTTGATCATGAAACAGTAACTGAGTAACCCTATATCTTTTTTTAAGTGAATATTTTAAAAAGCTGCCCACAAAAATGTTTAGGTCCATATGGTTTCACTGATGAATTCTACCAAGCATTAAGAAATAACATTAATTAACACAAACTCATTCATAAAATAGAAGAAAAGGGAACAATTTTCAACTCATAAGACTAGCATTACTGATGCTAAAACTTGACAAAGACATTCTCTCTCTCTCTCTCTCTCTCTCTCTCTCTCTCTCTCTCTCTCTCTCACACACACACACACACACAATTACAGACCAATATCCCTCATGAACACAGACACAAAAATCCTTGGCAAAATGTTAACAAATTAAACTAGCAAGCCCTAACCGGTTTGGCTCAATGGATAGAGTGTCGGCCTGCGGACTGAAAGGTCCCAGGTTCAATTCTGGTCAAGGGCATGTACCTTGGTTGTGGGCACATCCCCGGTAGGAGGTGTGCAGGAGGCAGCTGATCGACGTTTCTCTCTCATCGATGTTCCTAACTATCTCTCTCCCTTCCTCTCTGTAAAAAATCAATAAAATATATTTTAAAAAAATAAAAATAAACTAGCAATATATTATAAGAATAAAATAATAACACACATCATTATTGACTTAATTTATTCTAAAAATGTAAAGTTGGTTTAGCATTTAAAAATCAATCAATTAGATAACATATGAAACAATAATTACAGAACTATCTTGATGATCACACAATTATAAAGATGTAATTTGTGCCCTAGCCAGTTTGGCTCAGTGGCTAGAACAGTGGTTCTCAACCTTCCTAATGCCATGATCCTTTAATACAGTTCTTCATGTTGTGGTGACCCCCAACCATAAAATGACTTTTGCTGCTACTTCATAACTGTAATTTTGCTACTGTTATGAATCGTAATGTAAATATTTGATATGCAGGATGTATTTTCATTGTTACAAACTGAACATAATTAAAGCATAGTGATTAACCACAAAAACAATATGTAATTATATATGTGTTTTCCGATGGTCTTTGGCGACCCCTGTGAAAGGGTCGTTTGACCCCCAAAAGGATTGCGACCCAAGGGTTGAGAACCACTGGGCTAGAACATCAGCCTGCGGACAAAAGTGTACCAGGTTCTATTTTGGTCAAGGGCACATGCCTGGCTTGCAGACTCAATCCCCAGGAGAGGGTGTGCAGGAAGCAGCCAATCAATGATTCTCTCTCATCATTGATGTTTCTCTCTCTCCCTCCCTCTCCCTTCCTGTCTGAGGTCAATAAAAATATAATAAAAATAATAAATAAGATGTTACTTGTGACAATAGTAACACAAAGGGGAACGGAGCTCTCTTAAAATTATGATATGCTGGAATTGGTCTACGGCAATATATAAGAAAAATTTTTATACAATAGTAAAACCAAATTGATATTAATTTGAATTAGATTGTTGTAAATTAATATGTTAATTGTAATCCCCAGGGTAACCACTAATAAAATAACTAAAAGATACATAGTAAAATAAATGAGAAAAGAATCAAATTGTTACATGAGAAAGTAGATAACACCAAAAAAGGTAGTAATGAAGGAAATAAGAAACAAAAATGATATAAGAAAGCAAATAGAAAAATGGCAGAACTTCCATATCTGTAAGTACATTAAGTATAAGTGGATTGAAAGGCAGAGGATGGCAGAAAATATATTTGTAAGCAACCCACTATAGGCTATCTACAAGGGATGCACTTTAGAACCAAAAACACAAATAGATTGAAAATTAAAGAATCTAGCCTGGCCGGTATGGCTTTGAGTGTAATTTATAGCTGCAAACATCTACATCTAAAAAAAAAAAAAAAAAAACTAGAGCTCAAATCAATACTCTTCTACCTTAAGAAACTAGAAAAAGAATAAACTAAACCCAAAACAAGAAAGAAGGAAATAATAAAAATTAGAGCAGAGATCCATGGAATAGAAAATACAAAAACAACAAAGAAAAAAAATCAACAAAACCAAGTTAGTTCTTTGAAAAGATCAACAGAACTGACAAACCTTAAGCTAGACTGAGCAAGAAAAAAAGAGAGAAGACTCAAATCACTAAAATCAGAGTGAAAATGAGAACATTATCACCAACCTTACAGAAATAAAAAGTATTCCAGAAGAACACTATGAACAATTGCATGCCAACAAATCAGATAACCTAGATAAATGGAAACAACTCGAAACACAAAAATAACTCAAGAAAAAACAGAAAATCTGAAAAGACCTACAAATCGTCTAAAAGTTTAGCTAAGCTACTCCACGATATTGCTGCTTGGCATCCATTTCACTTGAGCAAGCAGCCCGCAAGGACCTTAAACTGACACTAGCCCCTCAGGGAAGCGCACACCTGAATGGCAGCTCACAGAGTCAGAAGCAAATGTAAGTTCCTGATCTGACTTGTGATCAAGCAGTCTCCCCTGCTACTGGCACGTGTATGCCTTATGCACCCACTAGATAAAAAACCCAATGGAGGTGAGGGCATGAGTGGGGGGTGGAGAGGCAATGAGGGGATAAGGACACATATGGAATACCTTAATCAATAAAGAAAAGAAAATTAAATAAAAAACAAACAAACATGGAGACTACCAAAACTCTGTTCCTTTGGTTTAAACTGACCAGCTCAGCCCTAGCCCAGGAAGCCCAAAGCACTCCACCCATGGACTCTAATAAAGGCATGTACCAAGGTGCTGCCTGTCTCCTGCCCCTAGGTGGCTCTCTGAGGCATGTCCTGTAATTCCTCGAACCTGTGAGTAATAAACTTCTCTATTTCAGTTTCTCTTATGATCTGTGGTTAAATCATAGCTCACCATCTGACCCCCTATGCTCCACTTAACAAATGTTAATTTAACAAAGTCAGAATACAAGTAAAAAGGTTGAATCAGTAATCATAAAAATCCCAGGAAAGAAAAGCCCAGAATCACATGAATTGACGGGCGAATTCTACCAATCATTTTTTTAAAATAATAACACTAATCCTTCTCAAAGTCTATCCAAAAATGGAAGAGGAAGAAATATTTCTTAACTCATTTTATGAGACAAGTATTACTCTGATAACAAAGCCAGATAATATCACAAGAAAATTATAGACCAATATCCCTTATGTATACAAATGTAAAAATCTTCAACAAAATATTAGCAAAATTAATCCAGTAGAATATTAAAAAAGATGTATGCCATTTGGTCCAGCAATTCTACTTCTGGACATATATCCAGAAGAATTACAAGACTCAAAGAGAGATTTTTTTACATCCATGTTCAATAATAGCATTATTCACAACAGTCAAGTGGTAGAAGAAACCCAAGGTCCATCAACAGATGAATCAACAAACAAAATGTGTAGCATATATTCATACAATGGAATATTATTTAGCCTTATAAAGGAAGGAAATTCTGATGTGTGCTATAATATGGACATTATCTTATATAATAAAAGGCTAATATACCAACAGACCGAATGGTGGAACAACCGAACAACCGGACGTGCGCTGACCACCAGGGGGCGCGCACAGAACATGGAACATGGTGGGTGTCGGCCACAGCAGGATGGTGGAGCAGGTGAGCGGGGTGCCAGACCAAGTCGGGGCACCAGTCACTGTCTCCAGGGCAAGCCTCTGGTGGTTACTAAAAATTCTTTGCTCCTGCGCACTGTGGTCCTGCCCAGTGCTTGCACCTGCTGCCGGCACCAGCCCCGCTCACACCCGCAGCTGGCGCTGAAGTCACCGCTTACACCCGCTGCCGGCACCCGGCATCAGTCCTGATCGCTGGGCGCCATCAGTGGGTGCGAGCAGTGGCTGCTGCCCGGATTGCCCCTGAGGGCTTCTCCACCTCCCCCGGCTCCTGAGGGGCGATTGGGGCAGCAGCTGCCACTCACACCCACTGACGGCACCGGCCCTGCTCCAACCTGCTGCTGGCACTGGCCCCAATTGCTCCACACCGTCAGCGGGTGCAAGCAGGGCTGGTGGCGTCAGCCCATGGGACAGGTAACGGCGGGAACGGGGCTGTTGGCAGGCAGGGAACCAGGGGCCACGGCGGGAGGGACTGGGCGGGGGCGCCTCTGTGCCCA